CTCAATTACATTGTCGAGGGTTGTTCTAAAGTAGATCCAAAGCCTTTTATTGCCCGCATGTTATCTTGAGTGTATTATCGATAGAGTAAAAGACCATCATAAATCATAGTTTGTATTTATAAAATATTATATGCTTATTTGTAATTATATTTATTGAATACTTTCTATGTGAAGAATAATCTTAGAAAAGACAGACACATTTTCTCCTCCCTTTCAGTTTTGTATGAGAGACATGTGAGTAAGCCAGTGATTAACATACAGCAGCATAAGTGCTGGAGTAAGCAGAATAAGTATGTAAAGACTACCTTGGGAATATGTAGGTCCTACTCTCAGACAAGCAGGGACCTGTTATGTTGTGTTTTAGCAACACAGGATATTAGTCTGAGTGGCAATGGGGGTGTTAAGGCAGGTTATTTCTCGACTGTGGGTCATACCCAGGGGCACATTCTGAGATTTAGAGAATGCAGAGAAAGGCCAAGAAAAGAAATAGATCAGACTCTCAGTCTTTGAGAATTCAGAGATGTGGTTCAGCAGGGCCATGCACACCAGAAAATGTGCAAAACTTCATATGTATGCATATGTATGTGAATCTTATGAAAGCTCATGGCTTTATCATGTTCTCAAAGAGGGCTATGATTTCCGTAAGGATTAGAAACATTGCTCTAATGTATACATGGATGGAGGTGGGAGATGAATTGATGAAGTGATCCTGTGGTGAGTTAGAATTGTACTGGGGTTTTCCTAAGACTTTCCCCCCAAATACAGAAGTCACCTGTTGCCGGTGATACATTTAAAAAAATTTAAAAGTCAAAGCATACTTTGAATGTGCTAGGTTAGCTCACTAAGGAAACTTGGGTTGAGTTATTTTGTGAAGTAAGGAATTTAAGAAAAACACCTTTGTGTATTCATAAGTTCTGTTTTTTTATGTAGCCTTCCTATCAAGATGGCCATAGCAATACCACACAATTGCCAGCATGACTACTAAGTGAATTCTTCTAGAAGCTAAATTTCGTGTTTGTTATGTGCCAGATGCTGTACATGTTTTTCTGATTTTCACAGCAACTACATATGACAGTTGTTATCTGCATTTTCTAGTGAGGAAACCAAAGTTCAGACAGGCTATGAAATTAGTAGTGAGTTTTATGTTCTTACCCTCGACTGGACAGCTGATATTCAGGGGCCATGATTTGAACCCAGCACTGGTGGATTCCAAAGTCTATGCTCTTTTCATTGCAGAATCTTCATTTAGTTTTCGGTAATGTGGTTTTACTTCAGGTGTTTCTAGTTTCAAATAACTGACGTAAATTTTAACTAGCTTCTTTTAAAAAGGAAAAGTTCTTTTAAAGACAAGGAGTGTCTTGAGGAACCTAAAGATAGGACTCCAGCTGGCTTCTAGAAGGAACTGGAACTGAGAGCTGTTAAGCCAGAGTTCTCCTCCCCTGACTCGTCCCTCCTGTCTTGCACATCTGCTTTATGTTCTGTCTCTGGCTTTCTCTGCTGTGTGTATAGATGACGGAATATGGCTGCTGCACAGCTTTGAGCAGGCACAGAGATGTGCTGTCCCCAAATCCAAATTCCAATTAGGGAAATCTGATTGGCTCTGTTACATTTGTATTTTTATTTATTTTTAAGACAGGGCCTTGCTTTGCCACCTAGGATGCAGTGCAGTGGCACCATCATGGCTCACTGCAGCCTTGACCTCCTAGGTTCAAGTGATCCTCCTGCCTCAGCCTCCTAAGTATGATAGCTGGTATACGGGCACTTGCCACCAGCTAATTTAGCCCAGCTAATTCTTTTCTTCTTTTCTTCTTTTCTTTCCTTCCCTCCTCCTTCCCCCCTCCCTCCCTCCTTCCCTCCTTCCCTCTTTCTTTCCTTCCTTCCTTCCTTCCTTCCTTCGTCCTTTCCTTTCCCTTTCCCTTTCCCTTTCCCTTTCCCTTTCCCTTTCCCTTTCCCTCTCCCTTTCTCCCTTTCTCCCTTTCTCCCTTTCCCTTTCCTTTCCTTTCCTTTCCTTTCATTTCCTTTCCTTTTTCCTTTCCTCTTTCCTTCTTCTTTCTTTTATCTTCCTCTTTTTTTTTATGACAAGGTCTTGCTCTGTTGCCCAGGATGGTCTCTAACTCCTGGCCTCAAGCAATCCTCCTGCCTTAGCCTCCCAAGCTGTAGGGGTTACAGGCATGAACCACTACACCTGGCTGGCTCTACTTTCAACAGACATCCATCCTAGATCCAATCAGCTTTTAACCGAGAAGGCAAAATTACATAATCCAAACATGGCTGCCATGAGATTTGAAGGCACCATTCTTTAATGGTAGGAATGTGTGACTCTAGTCTTTACTTACTCATCTGAGGTATGGCTGCAGCCTATTCTGTGTTCTCTGTTACATGGAGAAGTCTAATAGTTTCCCTTCAGGTTTGACCCATGATTATAGCTCTTTGAAGAGCAAATTAAGTCCAGGACAGGCTTGGCAAATATGTTGACATGTCAGTGATTTTATTCTTTTGAAACCCATCCTTATTGTTTCCACAGTCTCCTTCCTTGTAGCCCGATTTCCCCCCATCCCACCGCACCCCACCCCACTTCTCTTATACAGGAATACAGTTAGAGTATCTGCTCAGAAGAAATCGTGCACTTCCTTTGGAGCTCAACTTTTCCTTTGGGCTACAGCTCCAATGGACTCCCTTTCCCAATGTAAAACCGTCTCTAAACTTGTGCTTGTTCTCTATGATAATGCTGAGAGTCCATTTCCCAATGGTCACAACTTATCCAGAAGTTGGTCCAGTTATTCTCATTGAACACACTGAGAGGAATAAATTCATGAGGGCTCTTAGGAAGAAATGGTGGTCACCAACTTTCTTCTCAATTGATGTAGCTCCAATGGAAGGGGGTCAAATCTCAACACCCAGTTATGTACATGTATACTTTCTATTTTCCTCTGCAGCTGTAAAGAAAAAGAAACTCAAGAGGGAAAATTTATTGTTACATTTTTTTGTAGGTAGTCCCAAACTTAGGAATGTTTAGGGTTCCTAAATGTTTATGGATCTACTTGTTTAGAACTTGGAACTTATTTTATTATAGAAACAATTCTGTACTTGCTAGTTTAGGTTTCTAGCCCAACTGCAAATAATTTGGTCTATAGCATAGCTGATTTGACCTTGAAATTATGACCTTTAAATTTTCCTTACCCTTAAAATTAGAGTTGGAACTCTCCTGGTCAATCCCTGACTTCATTAGCTTTCTAAATGTTCATTCCCCTAAGCTTCTCTAAAATTTGGCATTCCCTGGAACTTCTGTTTTCCTCTTACTGTAAAGGAGGTAGGCGGACAACATAGAGGTATGTAAGTGGATGATGGATGTGGGTTCCCCGTATCACAAGATGTAGTAGCAGTAGATGACACAAAAGGAAAGATAGGACTGTGTAGAAAGTGGTAAGTTTATGACCTTAGTGACTCTCAAAAAAAGAGGAGGCTAGTGAAGAGGAATAGGAAGGAAAGAATGGCTGGCTGCAATTTTTGATAAATATTGTCTGTAGTCAATGTATGCATTTAAAATATTAATTATTTTTTGTATGCAATTCTTTGAGTTGCTCTTTCCCCTCCATTATTCTTTTATTTATTTGTTGGTTTGTTTGTTTTGAGACAGGGTCTTGCTCTGTTACCCAGTCTGGAGTGCAGCGGTGTGATCATGGCTCACTGCAGCCTCAACCTTCTGGGCTTAAGCGATCTTTTCTCTTCAACCTCCCAAGTAACTGGAACCACAGATGCATGCTGCCACACCCAGCTAATATTTTGATTATTTGTAGAAACAAGGTCTCCCTATGTTGGCCAGGCTGCTCTTGAACTTATGGGCTCAAGCGATTTTCCCGCCTTGGCCTCCCAAAGTGCTAGGATTACAGGTGTGAGCCACTGCACTGGGCCTATCTTTCCCCTCCATTAGCCCGCAGTAAATAGAGAATAAATCTTACAGCATTTGTCATTTGTTTAGCTGGGTCCCTGAACTTGCCTTCCTGGGATGAGATGCCATGACTGCACAGAATGCAGCCAGATAATGGGAAGGTATACACTGGCCTCTCATTAAATGGCTAGGTAGTGTCATCACAGTGTGGCTTCGTGGGGCTCCTGTTTATGTGGCTTCAGCAGATGATTTCATCCTCTTTTCTGAGTTGGAACTAGACAACTTACATTCTCAGCAAACAGATGGACAACAGGGTTGAAATAAGATCTTGTACTGAAATAGTCCTTGAGTCATACTCTTTGACTGTTCTCTTATATGGGAAACTTGCCTCTTCCTTCTTGCAGAAGGCCAAGGCTGAGAATTCAGTGTACTCGGAGTTGTTGGACTCTCTTCTCAGCATATATTATGTTGGGTATTTTTCTTCTTGGTCAAGATTGAGAATATGCTAATATCAGAATATTATCTAATTTGTTTTGGCAGAACACCTAGCCTTTTGCCCTAAGTAGGCATTTAAAAATAGAACTAAAGGTTTTGCTAACGTTCTTTTGATCTCTTTCCAAAAAAGATCCTGACATGAGAAAAAAGGGGAGCTTGATTTTACCTATAACTTTATTTGGGAAGCAAGGGTGCTCTACTTCAAGGGTGTCCAATCTTTTGGCTTTTCTGGGCCACATTGGAAGAAGAAGGGCCACACATAAAATACACTAACATTAATAAGAATTGATGAGCTTAAAAAATCGCAAAAAAATTGTTTAATGTTTTAAGAAAGTTTACACATTTGTATTAGGCCGCATTCAAAGCCATCTTGGGTCACAGGGCTGCGGGCTGGACAAGCTTGCTCCAGTTGAAATTCGCTTGACTTGGTCATTGGGTTCTAGTGCACATTGTGCCAGTAACTGTGTGACCTCAGGAAAGTCAGTTTATCTTTCAATGCTCAGTTCTCTCATTTGTAAAATGGGAATAATAAAACCTCACCTGAAGGGTTGTTGTAAGTATTAAATGAGATGATATTTATGAAAGTACTTAGATAACTGCTGTATTAACATAGATATTTTTAAATGTACAAAAAGAATTATATTAAAACAGTAACATATATTTGTATGTATGAGGGAGGGATATTTAAAATTAAAAAATATAATCACAATAAGACCAGATATTCCTTGCCCTGCCCTTGGGGAACCAAGAAAATTAAAGCCTGTTTTACATCCCCAAAATAAAAAAGAGACTTGATAGAAGTAACAGTGCTCAGTGCTTGCAACCCAAGTCAATTTAAATTCTTGTTAGATAAGTCCAAATTCTAAAAGCTACAAAAAATCTGTTAAATCAAGGGGAAAAAATTCATTTTAGGACAAAGTTATTCAAGATGAAAGAAAGGCATGTCTTCAGTGGGAGAACTGCCTGCTGTCAGATGATTTCTTGCTAAAGTGTTTAAAGATTTTGGACTTCTCAACTTTCTTGGTTTTCTTGTAGCCAAATCTACCACTGCCTCCTCGCTTTTTCTTCTTGCTTTCATTGCTGTTGATGTTCAGATCAACAAAGGGAGCCACCTTGAAACTGAATGACAGAATAACTTGAGGCAAATTTAAGTTACTGACATTAAAGATCTGTTTCAGAGAATGGGAATCATAGGCTCGTATGTATGACTTAAACGCTTCCTGGGCTGACTTATTAAGAAAGTAGTTTTTTCAATCAATTTCTCAAGCTGAGGCTGAGTGTCAGAAATTTTAGACCAGAAACAGTCAAATTCACTTAATGGAACGTTGGATTGTTTCAAATAGTGAAGAAAATCTAATTCTTTTGGGTGCAAAATGAGCAGGGTGTGCCCTCTCCCATTTAGACCTCTGGCTGTTCTACCCACAAGATGCCTATATTCCTTAGGGTCATCATACTGAATAATCCAGTCAACTTCAGGAATGTCCAGTCCTCCTGCTGCCACATCTGTATATAATAGTGTTCCTGAATCTGCGTTGCAGAACTGGAAGAATGTGGCTGTACGCTTATTTTGCTTTTGCTTTTCATGACTGGCCAAGACAGGCAAATCAATGTAGTTCAGCAACTCACAGTGGTAGTTCACGGACATACAAGATGAAAAGACCATGAGCACCTTCTTTCAGTTCTTCTCAAGGAATGTAAAGAAGAGAAGGAATCTCTTTTCAGAGGGACGAACAACATGTCCCTGCTCAAGACCATCCACTGTTGCATTAGCTTTATCATCATCAACAGCAATGTACAATGGCTCCTTTTTCAGAGAAAAAGGAGATAATCGTGAACTGGGCGTGGCTAATTCTCTACTAGGTGAGAGAATAAGGACTCCCCTTCCGTTCCTGGGCATGAACTTTAATGTAACAATGTGTTCAACTGCAGGGGTGAGAAAAGCCAGGGTTTTACCACTGCCTGTTTTTGCAGCTGCTGGAAGATCCCTGCCTTCCAGAGTGGTCTGATAGTTTTATGCTGAATTTCAGTAATGTTTGTAAAACCCATTTATTTTATTGCCTTCAGAGTGTTTTCACTGACAAGATGGCATAGAGAAGCAAATGAATTATCCTCAAAAGCTCCTGTCAGTTTCAGGGGCAGGCTGGGCACCTCACTGTCATCTCCCTCATTATCTGGCATCTACACATTATTTTCTGTTTCTTTAGGAGTCTTGGTACTTTCTTATTCAGAATCCCCTTTGTTTTCAGTTTTTGCTTTTTTTGTATCAGGCCCAGCATCATTCGGCATATTTCTCTTTTGATTCTGAATCTGGAGACTGCATTGCTCCTTCTCCATTGGTTAATGCAATAGATTTCTGGGGATATTTTTAACTTTTATATTTTCCCCTGCTTCATGAGATAGGTCTCCATTTTGAGCTTCTGAGAAGCCCACATTCATAGAATGTTTTGATTTTTTAACCTTTCCAGCTCCCAGTGTTTCTTCAGACACATCTCCATTTTGAATTTCTGATAGGGTCAGATTTGAGGCCCCCTGCAACTTCAGGTTCCACTGCTGCAATTTGAGGTTCCACTTCTCAATCTTCTTGCACAGGAGTTTCATCAGCAAGTGAGACATGCTGTCCAAGAAGTGCCTAGACCATAGCACCATAAAGTCAACATAGATTTTTGATATGGTTTGGCTGTGTCCCCACCCAAATCTCACCTTGAATTGTAATAATCCCACATATTAAAGGCAGGGCCAGGTGGAGATAGGTGAATGATGGAGGTGGTTTTCCCCATAGTGTTCTCATGGTAGTGAGTAAATCTCACGAGATGTGATGGTTTTATAAATGGGAGTTCCCTTGCCCAAGCTCTCTTGCCTGCTACTATGTAAGATGTGCCTTTGCTTCTCCTTTGCCTTCTGCCATGATTGTGAGGCCTCCCCAGCTATGTGGAACTGTCAGTCCATTAAACCTCTTTCCTTTATAAATTGCCCAGTCTTGGGCATGTCTTTATTAGCAGCATGAGAATGAACTAATGCAATTTTGTTTAATTTTCAGAGATTAGAACTATGCTTCCTGTATAACAAAATAGTTCATAATGAGCAAGGAGTAATTAATCCACTTAAAGATTTTGCTTATTCTAAACCAAGTATATTTGATGACTGTATTTTATTCAATCCTTGCGGGAGAGGGGTGATGATGTTGACCTGTGATTTCATTTCATTTTTTGATTACAATATAAAATATAGTCTAATTCAGGGCATGCTGTGGATCACAATGGCTCATCCTGCTCACTTGAGGGTATTTATTTCCATCACACTTTCTGGTAAGAGACATAAACTGATGTAATATCAAAGGAACACCATAAGCCATCTGAACTGTTGAACTGAGATAATCATGAACTGGGCAGGTGGCCATCCAAGTTTACAGCGTTCTTTTGGGCATGATGGTATCTGATTTCTGCTTCCTTATCTCGCTCCAATTTTCATAGCCTCAGGTATGTGCTGCAACATATATATTGTCCAAGGTCCTGCAGAATTATGTGTAAAAATTGCAGGTTGAAAAGATTGGAAAATATTTTTAAGTTAAAGTAACCCTATGTAGTAACATTGTTTGCTCTCAAAAGTTTTGTCTCTGTTGGTCAGTTCATGGATTACTTCCATCAAAAGAGGATAACATTTTAGATTAGTTATTTTCAACATAACCATTGAGGATGAGAGCTTCAGCTTGTATGTATGCATTAGGTCCTATGAAAGGAAGACAGATACTGGACAAGGACCCCTCTCATCCTGATAGAATGGGCTGGGAGCTTTGAACCAAAGTTTCTCTTACTTGTCTTGATTTGTTCTCACTCTTACATGGGGAGGTGAGGGTGAACTAGTTATGATTGAACTGCTTATCTTTATTCACAGTGCTTATCGGAGGAATATAAAGTACCTCTTTTGGCCAGGTGTGGTGGCTCATGCCTATAATCCCAGCACTTTTAGGGGCGGAGGGGGGCAGATCACCTGAGGTCAGACTTTTGAGACCAGCCTGACCAACATGAAGAAACCATATCTCTACCAAAAATACAAAATTAGTCAGGTGTGGTAGCACATGCCTGTAATCCTAGCCACTCCAGAGGCTGAGGCAGGAGAATCACTTGAGCCCAGGAGGCAGAAGTTGCAGTGAGCTGAGATTGTGCCATTGCACTCCAGCCTGGGCAACAAGAGTGAAACTCTGTCTCAAAAAAACAAAAACAAAAAAACTTCTTTTGTCTTTTGATAAAATTAGAAATTTATGTGTTGTTAACATATCATTAATGAGCCTTTTTGGGTTTAAGAAAGCACCAGAAATTAATAAACAATTAGAAATAAAATTAGGGTTTACTTTCCATCATTATCTCTTGCTTTTATTATAGATTGAAAAAGTTTTTGAGTAAGTAGTTTTTAAGTTTTTTTTAAAATACGTAAAAGCAGGAGTCTCACTCTGTTGCCCAAGCTGGTCTTGAATTCCTGGCCTCAAGCAATCCTCCTTCCTTAGCCTCCTGAGTTTTAGTTTATTTATTTATTTATTTTTAATTAAATGCCTGGGATGGAGAAACTTATTTTCTGCCATCAACAAAGCTTACCTCTTCTCCATCTCTCTGACTTTACTCACATAATTCCTTTTGCCCAGAAGGCCCTTCTTCCTCCTTTTCTCCGTTGTCTTCCCTCATTTCTACCCATTAAATTCTCCAGGTCTTACAGGGCTGGGCTCAAATTGCTGAGTGCCTTCCTGAAAATCAGTGCTACTCTGACCAGCTGACAGGCCTAATTGTCTTTTTTTGACACCACTTGAAGTCTTATGTTTTATTTATCGTTGTATTCCCAGCACCTAATAAAGAACCTATAGATAATAAGAGCTTTAGAAATGTTTGTTGAGGGCCGGACGTGCTGGCTCACACCTATAATCCCAGCACTTTGGGAGGCCGAGGCAGGTGGATAATGAGATCAGGAATTCAAGACTAGCCTGACCAACATAGTGAAACCCTTGTCTCTACTGAAAATACAAAAAATTAGCCGGATGTGGTGGCAGGTGCCTGTAATCTCAGCTACTCAGGAGGCCGAGGCAGGAGAATGGCATGAACCCAGGAGGCGGAGGTTTTAGTGAGCAGAGATTGCACCACTGCACTCCAGCCTGGGTGACAGAGCAAGACTCCGTCTCAAAAAAAAAAAAAAAAAAAAGAAAGAAAAAGAAGTTTGTTGAATGGAGCAATGAAAGTAAGAGCATTAAGGAAGAAAGGAAGCCTAGAAGGGAGTGTCTAGTCTAATCATATGGCGGGGAAAGGTAGGTAGGAGAGAGATCCCAGAAAAGACACATTTTGAGTGACTGTGTGTGTTTGTGTGTGTGTGCACACGTGTGTATGTGTGTGATGAAGAGCTATTGGTCAGGTGAAAAAGGCATGGAAGAATGACCTCGGTAAATTGAGAACCAAGGAATCTGTGAATATGAAATTTGAATACTTAGATTTGTTTTAGTATGGCTGAAACTGAGATGCAAAGTGAAAATGGATGAAAAGAAGATGAATCTAAAATGCAGGTTGTATATTTGAACTTTGTGCCAATTAAAAAATCATTTAGGTTAGTAGTTACAATTGCCTCTGTGTGCTTAGGTAAATATTATAAATAAAAGTCAGGTATAGGATTAGATTTCTTGAGCTCGTTTGATTAGAAGAGTTTGAATATTTAATTAATAATGTCACAAATACTTTAAAGTAAATGGACTGGGCATGGTGGCCCACACCTGCAATCCCAGCACTTTGGGAGGTCAAGACAGGAGGATCACTTGAGGCCAGGAGTTTGAAACCAAACTAGGCAACATAATGAGATCCTTGTCTCTCTATATATAAAAAAGTAAGTGGGGTGGTTATATCAGTTTATGTTGGAAGCAAATGTTTGTTGAAATCACAAACTGAAACCTTACATATTTTAAGGTAATTCTTCCTGACTTAGAAGCAAAAATACTGGAGTCTCAATTTAATCCAAAATGGTAAAACAGTGAATGTCCCCCTTTTTGGGACAACTTTATAGTTAATACTATGCCTCTGTGAGACTTTCCTGTGGTGTCAGTCACTAACCACTTAAAAAATGTGATAATTACAAGCAGTTTATAAGTAGATAAGCTTATTTTTTATAATGACTACTTTTATAAAGTTTAAAAGAAATAATGTATGTAGAATGCATAGTGCCAAGTGCCATGCCTGTAACACAATAGGTATTCAATAATATAATTTGTTTTTTTCTCAAACTCCCAGAAAACTGAGGAAGCTTCCACTTTATCATTATGAACTTTCAGAAGAAATAACATCCTGCCTCCAAGTGTACCCTTGCTAAAGTATCCACTAATTCTTTTGTAGAAGTTTGGAATTTCCTTGGTGATTTTAAACAAGATTTCCGCTCTCAAGTGTGTTCATTGTAAGAGTCCTATATCACCAAGGCTGATCTGAGTACAGAATCTTCAAGCCTCAGTGGGACTAAATATTTCCACAATTACTTGTATTTGAAATAGTTCTGGCCGGGCACAGTGGCTCATGCCTGTAATCCCAGCACTTTGGGAGTCTGAGGCGGGTGGATCAACTGAGGTCAGGTGATCGAGACCACCCTGGCTAACACGGTGAAACCCCGTCTCTACTAAAAATATAAAAAATTAGCTGGGCATGGTGGCAGGTACCTGTAATCCCAGCTCCTCAGGAGACTGAGGCAGCAGAATTGCTTGAACCTGGGAGGCGGAGATTACAGCAAGCTGAGAAAAAAAAAAAAAAATTAGTTCTGATCTCTTTCACCTCAGGGGTTCAGTGAATCATGCTGAGGCCTTCCTGATATATGAGACAGATGGTTTTCTTCTGGATTTGTGGGTGGGAGCAGGTTTGCCTGAGTTACTAATACTGAGGAGGGGTTGAGATGCCAGGTTGGAAAATGAAAACTTAAACCAAGTTATTGCTGGGCATAACTCAGGAGTATTGCATGCCTTTGGTTTGTTTTGATTAAATTCCAAGGTGATACAATCATCTGGCTATTAAAAATAATCATCTGACTATTAAAAATAATTAATTGCCTTGTTTTCTACTTAGAGGTATAATGGGTCCAGATTTGCAAGTTAGAATGCATTTTGTGATGGGACAATGAAACGGGGCCAATTGTTACGGGGATTGAATGTTTAGGGGCCAGGGCAGGTTGCCTGGTCACATCACCATGAGGCTTTTCAGGCAACATTTCTTTGGATATGTGTAATTTTCCAAACCCCAGTTACCAGAAAAATAGACTTATTAACCTATTTGGCCAAAATAAAGTAAAACTATGACAAATATGAAAGTAGAGATTTTATAGATTACATTTCCTCACCACAATCCAGTTAAATTAGAAACCAATACTAAACATATGGCCAGAAAATAACTACTTGGAAATTAAAAAACACTCTCCCAGATAAACCTTTGATCAAAGAGAAAATAAAAGAGAAGCAAAAGGTTATTTGGAGAGCAATAAAAAAAGTGTACTTTAAACCCAAATCTTTAGGGCATAGCATATACTTAAAACTTCACTTGGAAAAAAACTTATAACATTAACTATCTTCCTTATTCATGAAGAAGAAGACAGCAAAACACCTAACTGCCTCAAACCCCTCCTTAACCAACCAAACAACACACAC